GGGCCTGAAACGGGGGGGCCAACCCATTCCCCCTGAGGAACTGGGTACATTTTACCATGATGTGGGTCATTGATGTGAAGTCATGGGGAGGGGATTTGGAATCTTAGACGGCCTGGTATTGGAATCTCTCAGATTTGCTCTGACCTCTAATGAAAGAAGCTAAAATGAGAATCGGTTTGGCAGCCTCTCTGGTTTGACAGCCTCTCTGGTTTGACATGTTGACATCCTGAATGTAGATGTTTACGTGGAAATCTGAAGACTTTTTATTGATCTCGTTGATAAAAAGGGAGGAAAATTTGGTTTGAAGAAGACAGCAAATGACTATCGGGGACATCGCTGTAACTTGGGAACTGCTGTCCGGTTATGGGCAGTTAATTATGTTTTTAACGAAAGGATGTTGGGGATATGGAACTCTGCTTGAAAAGTTCGTAGAGGCACAAATCCTCGTAGCATCATTTTAAAAATGTCTTTGACATGTGCCTGAAACATCATAGATTACAGGTTTACAGACTAAGCTGGGAAATAAAATTAGGCTGGGCATCTCTTTAGCTGAACTGACATGATGGACTGAATAGAATACTTTTTGTTTCATTTGATGTTTTAAAGTAGTATATATGTTGAACATAACAGATATTTTAATTAATCTGTTCAGATATGTTATGCTTCACCTCTGGAGCAGGTGTGACTTGAAAATGGTCAGAGGGAAGAATGCTACTAGTGTCACAAGAGCCCTGAATGGAGCATACAAACTGATCTCTGTTGACAGATGGATTAAAATATGTCTGATGGCTGTGTTAATCTGCATGAGAGATGGTTTCCAACTCATTAAACAAAAAAGACCATGTGTCATTTTTGTTAGCAAGTTCTGGTATGAGCCGTCATTTCAAGAATTATTAGGGCCCAGTGCAACAAGACCGTTCAGTCTGTACATGTGCCACTTGATAGATTATGGGCAGTCTTTGCAGAAAATTAGCTTCTATTTCTTGAAGTGTATGGAGTTAATGGGTGATTTAATTGAGGATTTTAGGATATTGAAAGAATTTGTTAGAAACTTTTGCTTGTGAAGGAGTTTTTTTTAAAAATGGAATTCTTTCATGAGATTTGGATACCAGTGTCACTTGTCTGTCCCCAATTAAACTAAATGGCCATTTCACAAAGGACAGTTATTGGTGTCACCTGTATGTCAGACTAGGTAAGGAGGACAGATTCTCCAGTGAGTCTGGAAAACTATCATGGAAAATAAAGAAATGACAGATGAAACAAACAGAAATTTTGCAGAGCATTGCAGTAAGAATTGTGAATTAGAAATGAAAAGGAATAGAGGCACACAAAACAATTATAATTACCGAGGAAATGCTACTGATAAAATTATTAGAACTAAAAGCTGACAAGCCCCCAGGTCCTGACAAACTCAATTCTGGAGCTTAAAACAAGTGGTTGCTAAGATAGATGTATTTGGTTTAATTTGTCAAAATTCCCTGGATTCTGGAAAAATCCCTTCCTATGGGAGCAGAGTAAATATGGCTGCTCGATCAAAGCAGTAAAGTACAGGTCAGTTAGCCTAGCATCTGCCATGGCGAAAATGCTGGAATTTATTACTAAGGGGGTTTAGCAGGCCAATTAGAAAAACCAATGCAATCAGGCAGAGTTGACATGTCCTTTTGTGAAAGGAAAGTAATGTTTTACTAAGATTTTGGAGTTCAGTGACAAACAACTGGATAAAAGGATACTAATAGGTGTGTTGTTATGTAAGTTTCCAAAAGGCATTTGACAAGGTGCCTCATCATAGGTTAATATGCTATCTAAGAACTCATGTTGTAGGGTGTAACGTTTCACCATGGACAGAAGATTGGTTTGCTAATTGGTAATAAATGGGTTATTTTCAGTTTAGCAAGAGTGCTGTGCTACAAGGATCAGTGTTAAACTTCAACTTTTTATCATTTATATCTAAGACTAGGGACTGGATATGTTTGCTAAATTTGCTGTTAACTTGCTTTTCTATCTTTTTATGTTATGAAAAGGACACAAGTCTGCAAAGGGATTGAGATAGATTAACTGAGTGGACAAAAATATGGGAAATATAGTATAATATAGGGGAAATGTGAACTTGGCAAAAAGTATAGAAAATCAGTGTATTATTTAAATGGAGAGAGATCGTAGAATTGAGTAGAGATTGAGCATTCTTGAAACATACACAAGTTAATTTTTAGATACAACTAATGTTTAGGAAGGCAAATGGATTGCATTTTTTAATTAGCTGGGAATAGAATATATAAATAGGCATGTTTTGCTGCATTTTAGATTTAGGTCTTATTGTCATTTGTACAGACTGTTGGTGAGGCCTCCTCTGGAGAGTTATGTACAGTTTTGGTCTCCTGCTTTCAGAAACGATGTAAATGCATTGAAGCAGTTCAGAGAAGGTTCATTTGGGATGGGGATTGACTTATGAAGAAAGGTTAGACAGGCTGGTCTCTTGCTATTGGAGTTTAAAAGAATGATGGGTGATCTTAGATCATGGGATGTAGATAGATTGCAGATTTGGGAAAAGAAATGGCAGATGGAGTTTAATACAGACAAACGTGAGATGATGCATTTTGGAAGGTCAAATTCAGATGCAAATTCTACAATAATGGTAGAACATTTAGGAGCATTGACATACGGAGGGATCTGGGCGTACAGGACCACAGATCCCTGAAAGTGGCAACACAGGTGGATAAGGTGATCAAGAAAGGATACAACGTGCTTTCCTTCGTCGGCCAGGGCATCAAATATAAAAGTCGGCAAGTTATGTTACAGGTTTATAAAACTTCAGTTAGGCCACAATTGGAATATTGCGTGCAGTTCTTGTTGCCAAATGACCAGAGGGACGTGGATGTTTTGGAGAGGGTGCAGAGAAGGTTTACCAGGACGTTGCCTAGTCCGGAGGGCTTTAGGTATGAGGAGAGGTCGGATAAACTCGGATTGTTTTCACTGGAAAGACGGAGGCTGAGGGGTGACCTGAAAGAGGTCTGCAAAATTATGAGAGGCACAGATAGGGTGGATAGTTAAATGCTCTTTTCCCAGGGTGTAAAGGCCAACTAAAGGAGGGCACAGGTTCAAGGTGAGGGCAAATGTTTATGGGTAGACATGTGGGAAAAATCGTTCACACGGAGGGTGACAGGTGTCTTGAACACACTGCCAGTGGAGGTGGAGGAAGCAATACATCAGCAACATTTAAGGCCTACCTTGATAGACACATGAACGGGAGACAAACAGAGATAGAAACCACGCATGGGCAATAAGTAGCAGGTCTAAACAAGGACTAGGAATCGGCACAGGCTTGGTGGGCCAAAGGGTCCGTTCTTATGCTGCATTGTTCTTGTTCTCATTGAAACATGTAAGGACCTGGGGAGATCTGTCAGGCTGGGAGGATGTTTCCTCTTGTTAGTGAGAATAGGACTCGGAAACAAACTGTTTAAAATAACGGGTTTCCAAATAAGACAAAGGTGAGGAAAAATATTTTCAAAGGATCGTGAGTATTTGGCATTCTCTGTCTCCAGAGAGCAATGGAGGTGGGATCATTGAAGAGCTTTGAGGCAAGATTGATTTATGACTGATAACTGAGTAAAAGGTTATTTGAGTTAGGTGGAAACGTGAAGTTGAAGCCACGATCAGATCAGTAATGGTCTTATCAAAAGGCGGAACAGGATCGGGGCCAAATAGCTTACTACGGCTTCAAATCCATGCTCATATTTCCTTAAAGGATATTAGTGAATGAGATGTGTTTTCTTTTTGCGACAGTTGTCAGTTTTGTGGCCACCTTTACTGAGACTAGCTTTCAATTCCAGGTTTTAATAACTGAATTTAAAACCCATCAGCTGCTGTTCCAGACAGTTTTACTGCTATGCCGCTGCCTTCCTCCAATACAAGCATGAGATAACCTTGAAATTAGAATGAGGCCATTCAGGAGAGAAGTTAGGAAGGGCATATTTGTGGAGGGAGTAAAGAACTGTTATTTCCATCCCCACAGAAAGTGAAATAAATAACTTTAAATCTCAGATTGATAGCTTTTCCTAGACAAACCTTACAATACCGTGAGAAATTGATGGCTGGATTTAAAATGCTCATCAGCTGTGATCTTGTTGAACTGAGGAACAGGAGTAAAGGCCTGAATAGCCTTTTCATAAATCGTTAATGGAACATGGATATTGCTGCGTGGGCCAGCATTGGCGATCACATCCCTAATTGCTCTGGAGAAGCAGTAATTAGCTGCTGCTATGTGTACGTGCACCCATGGTGCTGTTTGGGAATGAGTTGCAGGATTTTGACAATGATATAATTGTGAACCATTCTGTTAGCTTTGTTCTGGACTCTGGTGAAAACCGGGTGTAGTAAACTGCATGATGAAATAGGACCTTTATAATGTTTACACCAATTATTGCATGTTTGTATCAATAATAAAGCAAATTCATATCAATGAAACTGCCTTTGACCAGAGGCCATGTTTAACTAGAATCCCTGGGCATGGACATTCTTTAATCTGTTTCACTGCCCTGACCATTTATCTGATTCATACAGTAGATGTGTTGTCCTGGTGACTGGCTTTGACTCTATTTTGACATTCCCTGTAAAGGAAAAGCATTCAGGACAAGTTGGAGACCAGCCCAATCTTGTTGGAAAGTGGAGCAAAGTAGGGAGGCTGAATGATCTCCTGTTCCTATGGATTTATGCAATGCATTTAGAACCTCTGCTTTTGTATACCTCTCATTGTTAATATTCTTTTCATTCTTTCAAATTGAGGGTTTGTGTCAGAAGCCTCTGTTCCTTGTGTCTGCCCCACATGAGCCCTTGTTTTTTGAGAGTTTTTTTTTAATGAAACTCTGCTGTGTTTCCAGTCAGGGGAAAAGTTAATCTGCTGTTGATTCTCCTTTTAGTCAGAGGCTGCCACTCACTCTCTGGCTAACTTGTGGCTGAGATTGGTAACAAGTTAATAGTTCAACGTGACCAGGCTTCTGTGAGGAACATTAACCAGCAAGTTGAAGTAATGTTGTCTCCACTTCACAAGCAAGATGGAGTGCAAGGGGCTCAACTCAATTACCAAACTATATTAATTTTTCTTATACACTTTAAAGAGTCCTAGTTTTAATCTTTTAATGCAAGTAAATAAAGAATTATGAATCTATATTTATCAATGTGAATTGCATTAGATTTTGATTTAAAGGTTTATTTCCTCTCTTTTTGCTTGCTCAGCTCTAATTTTGAAAGTAGGATGTATGATATTTTGCTTTATCAGGGAGACATTAATGGTGAGGCCTTGACGTACTGATAACTTCGCTGGACTGTAATGCAGAACCCCAGGCTAATGTTCTGGAAGTATGGGTTTGAATTCCACCAAGGTGGATGGTGAAATTTGAATTCAGTAAAGATAAAACTAGTCCAATGGCAATCGTTGTCGATTGTTATGAAAACCCATGTCGTTTAGGGAAGGAAATTTTCATCCTGTGCTTGGTCTGATCTGTATGCAACACTATATTCACAGCTATAGGGTCATACAGCATGGAAACATACCCTACGGTCCAAGTGTGATTGATTCTTAATGCCTACTTTCTGGACAATTGGTGATTAGCGTAAAATGCCTAGTCAGCAGCACCCGTATCCTGTAAATGACCTTTTTCTTCAAAAAAAAGGAGCATTTTATTAGTGTTTTTCATCCTGTTCTATGGTAAATGTAATTGGGTGAACAGAAGCAGGGAGTTGATGCGCAGCAATAAAGGTACATGAAGACTTTGCCTCCCTTACTTCAGAATAGTAACAGACCCTTGTTTCTGAAAACGACGTCACATTGATTCTTGCTGCCACAGCATGCTAGATGTCTACCTGATGTCATCTATTTGATAGAGGGGAACCAGTAGATGTATTGTATTTGGGTTTCCAGAAGGCGTTCAACAACATACCTCAGAAAAGTGACAAGAGCCCATGGTGCTGGAGGTAGTATATTGGCACAGATAGAGAATTTAAGTCATAGGCAGGTAACAGTGAGTGAGATTAACGTATTCTTTATCAGGTTGGTGACCTTTAGGGCTCCATGGGGATCAGTGTCAGGACCACAACTGTGAACGATATATATATTCATGAGGACAGAAGCGAATGTACTCTAACCAAATTTGCAGATAATGACACCAAAAATTGGTGGAAAGGCAGGTTGTGAGAGAGATGCATACATTTACAGAGAGATATTTGATAGGTTAAGTAAGTAGGCAAAAAGTTGGCAGATGGTATATAAGTTGGGAACACGCAAAGCTGTTCATTTTGGAAGGGAAAACAGAAGAATGGAATATTATTTGAAAGGAGAAGAACTGCAGAAAGCTGCAACACAAAGAGACTTGGGAGTACTTGTGCATGAAACACAGAAAACTAGCACACAGGCGCAGCAGGTAATCAGGAAGGCTCGTGGAGTGTGGCCTTTATTTCTAGGGGGTTGAGTAGGGAAGTCTTTACTTTATTCATTCTCGGGATGAAGACGTCACTGGCTAGGCAGCATTTAATGCCCATCCCTAATTGCCCAGAGGGCAGTTAAGAGTCAACCACATTGCTGTGGGTCTGGAGCCACATGTAGGCCGGACCATGTAAGGATGGCAGTTTCCTTCCTTAAAGGACATTAGTCAATCAGATGGGTTTTTCTGACAATCGACAATGGATTCATAGTCACCATTAGATTCCTAATCCCCGATACTTATTGAGTTCAAACTCCACCATCTGCGATGGCGGGATTTGAACCCGGGTCCCCAGAATGTTACCTGGGTCCAGTCCAGCGACAATACCACTAGGTCATTGCCTTCTCCAAGTCTTACTGCAACTGTACAAAGTGCAGGTGAGACCATGTCTGGCGTACTGTGAACAGTGTGGTCCTATTACTTAAGAAAAGATATCATTTCATTTGGAGGCAGTTCAGAGAAAGTTCACTAGCATGATCCCAGTATGGAAGGATCTTCTTATGAGCAAAGTTTACATAGTTTGGGACTCTACTCCCTGGAATTTAGAAAAATGAGAGGTGATCTTATTGAAACATATTGGATTCTTAAGGGGCTTGATAGGGTAAATGCTGAGAGGATGTTTCCCCTCATATGGAAGTCGAGGACCAGAGAACATAGTCTCAGAATAAAGCGGGGGAAACCTAAGACTGAGATGAGGAGGAATTACTTCTGAGAGTTGAGAGCCTTTGGAACTCTATATCGCAGAGAGCTGTGTGGGCAGAATCCTTGTCTATATTTAAGGCTGAGATAGATTCTTGATCAGGCAGGGAATCAAGGGTTTTGGGAAAGGGCAGGAAAGTGAACATGAGGAATGTCGGATTAACCATGATTCTAATGAAGGGCAGAGAGGCTCGAGGAGCTGATCAGCCTACTCCTGTTCCTCCTCCTTGTGCTGTTAACAGTGATGCGAGAGCTGGTCATTTGGAGGTCTGTTGTGTAACGTTGCAAGCAGCGTGCTAAGAATATTTGTTTATTCTTCTGTGTTTAATTTGCTTCTTTCTCTCCCTAAACAGACAAAGCAACCAGCCAGTTACTACTTGAAACTGATTGGGAATCCATCTTGCAGATCTGTGACCTGATTCGACAGGGAGATGCCCAGTAAGTGTCTTCAGGAAAAGAGGTGTGGTGAATGCTTTTCATCTCTGTTGATGTTTTTGCTGAGACAGTGAGTAGAGTGTCCTTGTGTGGTTGTAGCGTAGCCTGAAGATGATTCTTTGCTCATGCGCTTATCAATTCTTGAAGGCCCTGTTATTTGAGGCACTCGCCTACCTGGGAGAAGGTATCTTTAAATCCACTTTAGCATTTGCACATCAACAGAAGAACAAGAAATGGGAGCAGGACTAGCATATTCGGCCCCTGAGCCTGCTTTGCAATTCAGAAAGATTGTGGCTTATTTTCTACCTGATCAGCTGTTCTTGTTCTGTCCCATAGACCCTTGATTCTCCCAGGCCATCAATCTCAGCCTTGAAAGTGCTGACGGTCTGTAGCCCGCCTGGTTGGTGATTCTCAATCCACTGAAGAAGACCCCTTGCCCCAAGACAGTAACCCGTGGGCCAGAAGCCCATTGCTAATACTGCTTCAGTTGTCCATCTCTATCCTGTGTCTAGCTGCCCTTTCAAATATTGGTCCTGCTGTTGACTGTCACAACAACTAAGAGTTGGAAGGTGACAAAGGTTATCGCGTATTGGAACAAGGGAAGGTAGGTAACTACAGTGGTGAGGGCAAGGTGATTCCTGCTCGATTGCTGGATCTGTATACAGGAGCTAAATTGGAAATTGGCACAGTTGTGTGGAATTGTTAGCCTGAGGTGACAACTGTAGCAGGATCAAAGTATTTTGAGAAGGTTCCTGATTAGGATTCATAGAGGACATTATCAGTTACAGCAATATGTGGACTGTCTTCGTGGCGTAGACAAGAAACCAAGTGAATAGGAAGCTGGTTAGGATGATCAGGTAGTGTAGGGGGATAAAAGCAGCCTTGCTGGTCATTTATTTGGATTCTGGCACATAACAACTGACACTTTGACTACTTAAGAAGCGACAGCTTGTTTATTTTACATGAAATGTTTTGGAAGATACGAGTTGTTATGAAGTTATATACAAATACAAGCTTCTTTTTCTTTTTTGGATTCTCTCTTCATTGAGATGGTCGTTGCATGGCACTTACTTGATATGAGTGTTACTTATTACTCGTCAGTCCAAGCCCGGGCTTTGTCCACGTAGCGCTGCATTTGAACTTGGACTGCAACAGTATCTGAGGAGTCATGAACGGTGCTGAGCGTTGTGCAGTCAGCAGCATCCCCAATCCTGACCTTAGGTCATTGATGAAGCAGCTGAAGATGGTTGGACTCCGGGCACCACCCTGAGGAATTCCTGGAGTTTTTTTTTCCCCTGATTCTCATTGAATAAAGTTTTGCTCTTGTTCCTTGATGTCCTACTCAATCAAATCCTTTAAACCAGGACCAGTTACTCTCCCCTTGTTTATGGGCTTCACCTCTTTTATTTGTATTTAGATCAAGGCCGTAAAGAAGTTAAGAGCAGAGCAACCATTGAGGAGCCCAAAGTGAGCATCAGAGAGCGGTTGCTGAGTAAGAACCACTTAATGGTTCTGTTAGTGCCACCTTCCATTACTATGCTGATGATTGAGAGTAGACTGATGGGATGGATTGGGTTTTCCTTCTTTATTTTTGTCGACAGGGCATACCTGGGCAATTTCCACTTTGTTCTAGTGCTGCAGTCAAACAGCTTGGCTAATTCTGGAGTGCACGTCCTCAGTGTTGTTACATGAATATTAAAGTGAAGAAATGCTAGTCTGATCATAGTTGGGAGTATTGTTTTCAGTTTTGGCTGCCTGTGGTCCCGGAGGGAGTTCGCTGCACACATCTGGAGTTAAGTGATGTTGCTATAATGAGTAATCATGTAAATTTGAAGTTAGATGTTTATAGTATAGATTCAGAACAATAGACATAGTCAGTTTCAGTCTTGTAAACATAAACTTAATCTGTGATAGATGTTTCTCGGTGAAGAACTGTGAAAACAAGCACTGCTTCCAGATATAGATTCACAATCAGTTGAGGCATTTAAAAAGGATGTAGATAATAAATCTAGAAGTAAGAATTTTAATATGTAGAGAGCAGTGAAGTATGGATATTTACAAAATAGAACAGATATTGCTAACAACATAATGTATTGATGGGCTGAGTGGTCTGCTCCTTGTTCCTGTCAAACCCTGATTTGGTGTGTTTTAGCTTGTCTGATTAGTGAGTATCTACTTTTGTTTCATTAAACATACCTCCAAGGGCGCTTTTTGGTGTCTGGTCTCAGCTGAAGAGTCTAGTTTGAAACCTCTCCAATCAGGATTTAAATGTAATCAATCTTGAGTATATGAATTAAGACTTTGAATTGACCAGCATAATGCGAAATTTACTTAAATTAGAAATCTTGTTTTTACAAATAAAACCGCTCTCTTTCCTTGTTCCATCTGCCATTTTCAAATCTAGAATGTGTAAAAACAGCAAGACCGTGATGCATTCTGCAGGGGGAGGCAATGACCTAGTGGTGTTATCGCTGGGCTGCTAATCCAGAGACTCTGGCAGTGTTCTGGGGATCTGGGTTTGAATCCTGCCACAGCAGATGGTGGAATTTGAATTCAATAAATATCTGGAATTAAGAGTCTCATGATGACCATGAATCCATTGCCAATTGTCAGGAAAAACCCATCTGGTTCACTAATGTCCTTTAGGGAAGGAAACTGCCATCCTTACCTGGTCTGATCTACATGTGACTCCAGACCCACAGCAATGTGGTTGACTCCTAACTGCCCTCTGGGCAATTAGGGATGGGCAATAAATGCTGGCGTAGTCAGTGATGCCCTCATCCTGTGAATGATTTAAAAAATACATGAAAATGTTGGAGTTGAAATGGGGGAAAAAAGAGGCATACTGTTTGTCAGTTGTTGACTACATGCAATTGTCACAGCTCCAACTCCTGCTGCTAAAACAATGTTTAATAGCAGTGAGCGACCTGTAAACAGCCTCCAGCCGGGAGAGGAGCTGCAGCATTCCATCTGGCTGATCTTTTGACTTCGGTGTAAATGTTAAAGGGGAAGATGTTTGAGGGAGAGATCCACGACAGTGATCTGCACTATTAACATGGTCAAATTCCCTAAGATGCTTCACATGAACGTCATTGGTGAAATTTGCCACTTGGCCATGTTGGGATGTGTTTTAGGGATCATCTTGCAGGAGAGAGAAGGGAAGGGATTTCCAGATCATGGGGCTTAGACAACACATGGTTTCTATTGGTTGAGTGAAGAAATTCAAAATGTGCACAAGTAACAAGAATTTTCATTAAAAATTTAGGGTTCTCCTGGAGTGAATGTTAATCTGTGTTTTGAATTTTAAAGAAATATGCTTCACACTGCTTTGTAGTAAATGATAAGCTAGTGCAGTTGCTTGTTGGGAAAGTCAGAGGAGGGAATTTCTGGACAATCCATTGATGCTTTCCACCCTCCTCTCGAGTTGATGGCCAACCATGCTGTTAGTTTGGAGCTTTTGGACAATATACTATCCCACAGAATAAGAAGCAAACGATTTGGGTCACTTCCTGACTATTTTCCTGGGCCTTTCAGAGCCTGGGTCACAGTGAAGATATGAACTGGAGCTAGTTCAACTGCCCACCCGCTTTTGAGGACTGATTCCAGATAGAAGCAAATCTTCACCTTAACCCTACTTCTGCAGGTACTTGAGATGATATGACTCATGGGCTCATCAAAGGAGTAATTATATTCTTTCTTTTAACCAAAGATTTTGTTTTTGGCATAGGGCTAAATACGCAATTGGTGCCATCAAGAAGAAGCTGAATGATAAAAATCCCCATGTGGTTCTTTACACTCTAGAGGTGAGCGCTTATTATTACAGTGAGTTTGGGGGCAAAATGGAAAGTTGGAGAACCTGCTCCTTCTCTGAGTGGGTAAGGGTTTAAGTTCTAATAAAAGCAACTGTTAAAACTGGGAGCAACTCAGCAGGACTGGCAGCATGTTGAGAGACCGAGTTAATGTTTCAAATCCTGTATGATTCTTTATAGGAACTACTTTGGTTGGGTTGTGATGTAAGGTATGAGATTTATCTATATTTTAAGATTTATTTTAGAGTTTGGATATGGGCTCATGGCATCTGGGTTTTGTTCAGTTCTGAAGGGGTTAATTAATTTGCATTTCTGTAGCCATCATTTCTTTCTTTTAAAAAGCAGACAGAGTTTATGAAGGCTTATTAGAATTTGTTTACATTGTGAGAGTCTGAGAGATCAAATAAACAAGCATTAGGCTTTCAGATGGAAGATTTTGGAATTTTTTGAGGGGCGTATGGGTTGCAGGTTGAGTTGAAATAAATGTTTGGGCTTCATTTTGACAGATTTTATGGAAGTTTTGCCTGAAGTTGGGTATGTACTAAATTACCCTGGTGAAAGGAGACGGTTTAGAATTGTTAAATAGGTTACTTCAGTGTAGGCAGTTTAGTTTGAGAGTTCATGACCAGAAGTTTTACAGTTGTGAAGGAGTTGTTTGAAGCTGTGAAGGTCTAAGCAGAGTTGTATGAAGACCTGAGGAACAATCTATCAGATTTTCAAGATGGAGAATTGAAGCCACGGTGAAGTTAAGCCCTATAGATGTGAAAAAGAAGGGCATTTTCTCTGGTATGAGAACTGTAAAGGGTTTCTTTAGGAATTAATGGGATTGTATTTTACAGTGTATTTCAATCTGTAAACATCTGTTATGTTAAAATAGTATGGTTTATTCTCTTTTATCTTCATTTCTTTTGAGTAATAAATTTCTGTTTTACTGTTGGACTGATTCTGCAGCATTGTGCTTGTTTCAGTGAGGGACTGCCTTGTTAAAACCAAAAACAAAAGTTACCATCTGTCAAACCTGATTTCCGTCTGCGATCTGACCTGGCCAGTAATAACATCAGCTGGGGTTGTAACAGGGTTCTAAAGAAAAGTCATGTTGGACTTGAAACATTAACCCTGTTTCTCTCTCCACGGATGCTGCCAGATTTGCTGAGATTCTTCAGTACTAGTTGATTTCTGACCTCCAACATCTGCAGTGTCTTTGCTTTTATATAGCGTTGAGTTGTTTTTCTCAACTATTTGAGACATGGGAGTGGGTGTGAGTCTGAATGAATGTAGTGCCTACTGTGCATGTGTGTTGTACTGAATTGCTATTACATCCTGGTAGAGAAGGTTGCTAGTGATCCCACAGTGCTGAAACAATGCAGTTGCATTGAAATCTGCCATTTCTACCACCTTTGCAGCAGCCAGCTTAGACTCTGTTGGAGCAAACTGAGAGAGAAATGATGTTGCTGATTAAACAAGTGCAGTGAAATGGTGTCATTCAATAGGCAGGAACTGAGATGTGCAATTTATTGAAGTAGCTTACAGCTGAACACAGAATCAATAGTAGCTGTTAACTGGAGAGTAATCTGTTATTATAAACTGCAAGTACTTCTGTATGTGAACAGTAGAATTATCCTAGATTTAATTCCTGACACTGTGGGCTCTACGTAGGCTGGTTGATGTTATATAATGCACAGTTATGTCAGCATTGAATTTTTTCCAAGGGTTTAGTTATTTTATCAGGTTTAATAAAGTGCACGTGCTGAGAGTTTTATGTCCAGATAGTCATTTTGAAGCATGCAGAGTTATGAAGAGTCCACAGTGGACATTGAGAAAGATAGGGCTATAGCATAAAAATAGGAACAAAAACGAAGTTGCTGGAAAAGCTCAGCAGGTCTGGCAGCATCTGTGAAGGAGAAAACAGAGTTAACGGTTCGGGTCTGGTGACCCTTCCTCAGAACTGGACCCGAAACGTTAACCCAGTTTTCTCCTTCACAGATGCTGCCAAACCTCCTGAGCTTTTCCAGCAACTTTGTGTTTGTTCCTGATTTACAGCATCCGCAGTTCTTTTGGTTTTTATTTAGCATAAAAATAGGGATGTCTTGAGATGCTAAAATTATCTTTTGCTACTGGGCAATAGATCTTCTTTAAAATATCAGTTTCATACTTTTGTTACGAAGGTTTTTGGTAGATCCATGAGTTGGAGTAGGTTTTCTGGCTGTCTGATGGCCAAAGGAGCATGTTTTGTTAGTAAGTGTCCACTGTGAGTAGAGGCTGACAAAATGTAACTTGAAATACATTTTGACAAATGTGCATTAGTCTTCCAATGGGGAGAGAAGAATTGTGTTGTTTTTAAGGAAAATATTCTCCAGCGAGTAGCTTGATGCAATGGCAGAAAGCATTAGATAGTGCTTTGCAATACCTCCAAAAAACTTTGCAGTTATGTGTTTCCTGTTTTACTTTAGGTTGTTTACCTGGGACGGAATAGCACAGTATTTGAGTATTTTGTATCTGTCTTTACAAAGTGGAGGGATGATGCGGACTTTCAAGTAAAGGAAGGGAGGGAGGTTGTGAAATAATGAGTAGAAGCGTAACGGAAGTACTAGAGCAGCTAACCCCTTTGAAAGTAAATAAATCACCGGAGCCAGTTGAATTGTGCCGTAGGCTGTTGAAGGAAGCCAAGGAAGAAATAGTAATATTTTGAGAATCCGTTTCCGATCCTCATTTGATACCAGAGATTTGGAAGTTTGAGAACGTTATACTGTTATTCAAAAAGGGTGCAAGGGAAAGGAATTGGCCAAATCATTATAGGCTGGCAGTCTGACCTCAGAGGTAGGTAAATTACTAGGGTCAATATTGAGAAATGGAATTCACTGTTAACCTGGAAAGACAGCAAGATTATTCCAGAATAGTCAGTCCAGTTTTGTGAAGCTAGGGTTGTATCTTACTAACTGAATTCAGTTACTTCCTCAACAAAACAAAGAGTATCAATGGTAATACGGTTGATGTTGTCTATTTGGATTTTAGTCAAATATTTAACAAGGTCCTATGTGCAAGGCTGTTAAGAAAAATTCAAGCCCACAGGATACAGAGGAATGTTGAGAGTTGGTCCCAAGATCAGCTCAGTGACCGGAAACAATGGATAACAGCGGACCAATCGAATTGCAAATAGAAAGTGATATCTGGTGGTATTCCAGGTTTCTGTTTGTGATAAATTTAAATATATAAATACGATGCAGTGCAGAAGGCAGGATTGGGGAAACTTGCAGCCAATACAAAAATTGGTGGAGTAGTTGACAATGAAGACAATAACACAGGATGAGGAAGATGTCAGTTGTTTGGTTGAGTGGGTGGAAAAGTGGCAAATGGATTTCAGTTTGGAGAAATGCAAAGTTATGCATTTGAGGAGGCCAAACAAAGTAAGGGAACGAACAATAGACAGGAGGATATTGAGCAGAAGTAAAGAAGTGAGAGACCTTGGCATGCATGTGCACTGGCCCTTGAAGGTAGCGGGACAGTTAGATAAAATGGTAAAGAAGGCATTTGCGATGTTATCCTTCATTGGGTGAGGTCTTGAATACCAAAAACGGGCATGTGATGCTAAAACTTTATAAGACACTGCTTAAGCGACAGCTGGAGTTGTGTGTACCATTATAGTCACCACATTGCAGGAAGGATGTAATTGCGCTCGAAGAATACGGAGGAGGTTTACAAGATTGTTGCTGGGGCTTGATAACTGCGCCTAGGAGGAAAGATGAGCGAGATTAGAGTTTTTCTTAGAACAGAGGAGGCAAAGGGTGAAATAAAGATAGAATGCTGGAGAAACTCAGCAGGTCTGGCTGCACCTATGGAGTGAAACGGTTAACATTTCAAGTCTGATATGACACTTCATCAGAACTGTTCTGTCTTGAAAAAGAGTCATATCAGACTCAATGCTAACACTCTTTTTCTGTCTCCACAATTTAGATGTCTTTGGTGAGTTTTTGATCTGTAGGTGCTGTCTATGGGCAGTTTATGGCTAGGTAGTTTTCTAGTTTTGGTGATTTCTTTTTGTGAGGTAGTTTTGGGGCTTTACCAGGTCTGAATAGTCAATCTGTTTCACTGGAATACTGTATTTTCACATTGGTTGCTTATTACCTAATTTCTCCTTCAGGTTTTGGAATCTGTGGTGAAGAACTGTGGCCAGACTGTTCACGATGAGGTTGCTAATAAACAAACGATGGAGGAGCTCAAAGAGTTGTTTAAGGTAACTTGTGCAATTGTTCCCACCAGTTCTGGAACAGACTCTGTTTGCTGTGTGTTTGATGTTGGGGCTTCCCTTCCCAATATCTCAACCGAGAGAGTGCCCTGTCCACTATAGCCGGACTATACAGGTGCATTTCCTAGTCCGTGTTGACGTGGCCAGGCTAGCACCAAATTCCCAGGTTGACGAGGGGGAGCTCTGCCAGAGTTTCTGCTCCTCATCCTGTGTAAGAACAGTTTCCAAATCGCTGTTCCTTGTGGAATCCATTCAGAATGATCGTGTTCCCAGAGGAGCAACTGGCTCCTATCAAAAGGTAACCAAGATGAGTAGAACTCGTAATTAGCAAATATCAAAAACCTTTGGGACACATGGGAGAACATGCTGAGTAATGGAAGCACTAACCAAAGCTACAAGGAGCAATAACATCATTCTTCACAGCAAATGATGAAAATACAATACTCATAATTTTAATGCGTCAGCCGCATTATAACTAAATAATGTGGAAAAATCTCATGTGAAGCCATTTGGTACTTAACTGCCTTCAGTGCAATTATCTGTTCTCGCGTGCTCAATCTCACACACGCTCTTTCGCTCGCTCGCTCTCTTTCTGTCTTTCTTTCTCCTGCCCTCACCCCCCACCGCACCCTCTCTCCACCATACCCCCCCTCCCTCCACCATTACCACCACCACCACCACCTGCCTCCCTCCCTTTCTGTCTCCTTTGAATTTTTTTGTTTTCTATTTATAAATTCTATTTACAGATTGCTTTCAGGTTTAAACATGAGTGGATTAATCACCATATTCCAAGTCTTTTGCGTGTCATTTCCCATTGAGGTAACAATCATTGTTCTGGTGATTGGTCACTAATCTGAAACGTTAGCCCTGTTCCTCCTTCCAAAGATGTTCTCCTGAGCTGCTGGGTCTTTCCAGTATTTTCTGTTCTTATTTCAGATTTCCAGTGGGTGCAGTATTTCTTTCTTGAATCATTATACTGTGTCTGACTCTATTTCTGTGATGACAACGTCACAATGATCCTGCCTCCTATAAAGGCAGAAGTTTTTTTTTAAACAGTGTTTGATCCTGGTCTGGTAATTAATAGAAATGGTATGTTGGAAATCTCCATGTACTATTGGAATCCATTGAGCTTGTCTCTTATTTTAAAATATATGAAATTCCTTTCTGCAATTTACTCTGAAGAGTTTTTGGCCTGGAAACTATCCCAGAGATCTGACAAGGAGACTTTTGTCTCCTGTTAGTATTTAGGCAATGACTACTTCCTGATGATTCAATGTACCTTTTGATTGTAAAGTTCCACCCATTTAATAGAGATCAGCTGATTTAAAGTTGAATTTGCTGACACTGCTCAAACTGGATGAGATTGAGGTGAGCAAACTTTGCAGTATAACAAAATGATCTGAGATTCCAAACTTCTGGGCTGTATGTGAATTTTATGTCTCTGAAATTACCTGCGCCTCTCGTGAATAGCTTTGTATACAAGTTAGCTGCTTCTTGATATAGATAAAGCCAAGTAGCTCTGAGCAGTGGCACAGGCCACAATTCACAAGTGGATTGGCCCGTCTGACCAAATTACCTTTCTGTTGAAGCTGGTTAGTTGTTTTCTTCCACTATCCAACCCCCAAGTGTGTTGTATGAAGCATGGAACCACAGAAGCCGGAGCTTTGAATTTTTCTGACCCATCTGCCTTGTGGGACCTTGACAAATGCCTTTCTAAAATCCATGTAGATATTTTCTAATCTACTGATGTTGTTACACAGCTCTGAAGCAGGACAATATCCCTGTTAATACCCTCCTCAATCCTCTGTTATTTTCTCAAGTTAATAACACTTGAACTTCCCTTTACAAAACCATACTGACTATCCCTGATGAATTATTAATTATGTCTGTTGTTTCTTTTCTGAATGGTTGCCTCGCAGGGCTGTAGTTCTCTGCCTTACTGGTTGTGTTGCTGTTCCAGTCAGTTCATATGTTCCTTGCTTCACAGAAACAAGTAGAGTCGAATGTCCGGACCAAGATCTTGCAGCTGATCCAGGCTTGGGCTCAGGCCTTCCGCAATGAACCCAAGTACAAAGTGGTACAGGACACCTATCAAATCATGAAGGTTGAAGGTAAGAAAATCTCAATAGCAGTTTGTGGCATTGTGCATTGACCAACAATTGACCAGCGTTCGCAGTAATCTTCGGCCAAAAGTGCCGAGTGGATGATCTGTCACTTCTCCAGTGGTCCCCAGCATCACCAATACCAGTCTTCAGCCAATTCGATTCACTCCATGTGATATCAAGAAACAGTTGGTGTCACTGGGTACTGCAACAGCTATGGGCCCTGACAACATTCCAGCAATAGTGATGAAGACTTGTGCTCCAGAAGTTGTCAACCGCCTAGCCAAGCTCTTCCTGTACAGTTACAACATTGGCATCTACCCATCAATGTGGAAAATCGCCCAGTTTATGTCTTGCACACGCACAGCTGGACAAATCCGACCCATCCAATTACTGCCCTATTAGTCTACTCTCAGTCTTCATAACGTGATGGAAGGGGTCATCAACAGTGCTATGAAGCAGCACCTGCTCAGTGACATCCAGTTTGGATTCTGCCAGGGCTACTCAGCTCCTTACCTCATTGCAGCCTTGGTTCACACATTGAAAAAAGAGCTGAATTCCAGAGGTCAGGTACCAAGGCTGCGTTCAACTGAGTGTGGCATCAAGGAGCTCTAGCAAAACTGGTATCAGTGGGTATTGGGGGCAAACTTTCCACTGTTTGGAGTCATACCTTGACACAAAGGAAGATGACTGTAGTTGTTGGAGTTCAGTCATCTCAGCTTCAGGACGTCTCTGCAGGAATTACTAAGGGTGGTGTCCTAGGCCCAACTAATGATCTTCCCTCCATCAGAAGGTCAGAAGTGGAGATGTTTGCTGATAATTGCACAATGTTCGGTACCATTCGCGATGCCTCAGATAATGAAGCAGTCCATGTTCAAAAACAATAAGATCTGGACAATATCCAAGTAATATTCATTCCACACAAAGGCTAGGCAATGACCATCTCTAAAAAGAGGCAATCTAACCCCTGCTCCTTGACATCCAGTAGTGTTAACATCATTGAATCACCTCCCATCAACATCCTTGAGGTTACTCTAAGGTTTTGGAGTAGATTTGTAGCTCAGGTTGTGGGATTTGAGGTTGGTTGGCTCGCCGAGCTGGTTTGTTGTTCCGCTGACGTTTCGTTACCGTGCTTGGTAACATCCTCAGTGCAGCCTCTAATGAAGCGTCGGTGTGTTTTCCCGCCTGGCTTTTAAACTCTGGGGTCCATTGCGATGGATTGCCTCACTTCCGGGTTTCCTCCATAGTGGAACGTA